GCTCCGCGGCGCCTCCGGCCCGGCCCGCGTGTCAGGCAGCGCCGGAGCGGCCGGCGGGCGCCCGCTGCGGACAGCGGCGCCTTCCCGGCGCACCCACGTCCCCCGTGGACCCRGTCCTTCTCTCCCACCCAGGAGCAGCACGGCGGCAGCTTGGGAGCTCCGGCAAAGCGCTGCGGTCCCGCCGGAGCGCATCCCTCCGCGACGGGATTCCGGCGCCCGAGGAGCGCTGCCACCGTGCGAGCCATGGGCAACGGCATGAGCAAGGTACGGAGCACCCGGCGCCCCTCGCGCGGGACGCGGGATGCACCGGGGGGAGCCGAGCGAGCCGGGACGCTGCGGGCGGCTGGGCAGACGGGGTGGGAACAAGGACCTGTTCCTTGGGAACAAGGACTCTGGATGTGGGAACCTCCCCAATGAGGGAGCGAGACCCCACGGGAACCCACGGCTGTGACAGCGTCCGGCTCCGCTCGGAGCATCCCTGGGGGGACACAGGTGACCGGAGCCTCTTCCCACAAAATCCTCCCTCCTGCTGTCTCCAGCCACCGGGTGAAGTCCCCTCGGGCTCCAGATGGAGCCATAAACCACGTCCCAGACAGCCAGGAGGAAGTTGGAGTGCTGGGAACGGGAACGCGCCGTTATCCAGGCTCTGCACCCCGGGAGCTGTCCTGGATACGGGCCCCCCCCGGCAAAGCTGCTCTGCCAAGGGCACCCTGACGATGCGAAACGGGTATAAAGTGTCCAAAAGTCACGAAAAGGCTCTGCAAAGGGTTAGAGCCGCAGAAATGCTTCCATACGTGGGCAGTAAGAACAACCGCTGCAGCGGTGGTCACTTCCCACGTGCCGCTCCCGCCAAACGCTAAAGCTGGAGAAGCCGATTGCCACATCAGCTGTAAACAGGCGCAAAGCCGACTGTTAATTTCCATCAGCCAGGATGAGAGAGGTGGGAAACGTGGAAACAGCTCAGGATAAAGACACGCGTGGGTCCCTGCTGCCAGTGTGAGCCGCTCACGGGCGACCCTCTGCTCTGCTCCCGCAGGTCCTGCCCGGCCTCTACCTCGGAAACTTCATCGGTAAGGAGAGCCCCGGCCTGTCCCGCTGCCGCTCCCGGGGCTCCCGCTCCCGGATGGGACCTGCTCGCGGCGCGAGGACAGCGCAGGGCGGTCCCTTGGGCGGCCGTTGCTGCCTCCGCCAGCCTCGTCCTGCTGCACTGTCCCTGCCACACGCTGTCCCTGCTGTCTGCTGCCCCTGCCACGCGCTGTCCCTCCGGCGCACAGTCCCCACCATGCACTGTCCCTCCCATGTGCTTTCCATGCCATGCAATGTCCCGCCGGTGCACAGTCCCTGCAGTGCATGGTCCCTCCCGGCTGCGCTGCAGGGACCTTCTGGGGCTGGGAGCCAGCAGAGGAGGAATCCGTGTCCCGAGAGGCCTCAGCAGACACCGAATCTTCAGCAGTTTGTTGGGAAACGGTGCAGACTTGGGGTGTGATGGGGCCACATCATAGAGTAAGGAGGTTTCCTAGTTGCATGCAGTGCCATGCAGGAGACACATAGCCGGTGTGACAAGTGAGCTAAGCTGGGAGCTGCCGGCCGTGCTCGGATGCCCTTCGGCAGGGCCGGGCTCCCGCTGGGAATGGGCCCGGGCAGCCCCTGGCCATGGGACGGCCCTGGACAAGCCGGCGGGAGCTGCAGCCACCCCTCCTGGGGCAGGGAGAGCTTCTGYGTCACCCCTGCGTGCGCCGGTTCCCTCCTCTGACGGGTTCTCAGTGTCAAGGACAATCCGTGACTAAGTGTGAGTGTCTGCCAAGAAAGAGCAGCGTTTGCTGGAGCTCCTGCTTCCCCAAGCAGTTCCCACCGAGAARCTCGGGCCCATGGCAGAGATTTAAGGCTGCTAAATTAAGCGCTAGGAGTTCACAGAGACATTTGCCTCAGCTGAAAGCACATCCCGACTGTAGCCTTTACAGCCGCATCACTAATCACCCTCGTTCTGCCTGTCAGGCACAGGCGGAAAGGTGACAGGTGATGTCCAGGTCMATGGATGGAGCAGGGGGGACACAGGAATCGTGACCTCGATGGGAAGTGTCGCCCTTGGGGCTCCTTTTTATTAAACACCGATGTCAGGCCACGCGGTTCAGGTTCAGGAGCCGAGGTGGGAAGCTGGGCCCGCCGGAGCTGTGAGATGAGGGGGGACCAGGGCGCATCTCGAGCTGCTTGTGCCACACCAGCTGCGACGGTGGCCAAAGCGGCAGTCCCAGCCCGTGGGCAGCGGTGCAGCCAGCGCCGGGCGAGCACTGCCACGGCCGGGCGGGTTCCCAGGAGACACCGACACCTGGGCTCCAAACCCGCAGGTTTGGGGAGGAAATGGAAGGAAATGGGAGCAGCGCAGTGAGGGGCAGCGCGGCCGCCTTCTGCGGGTGCGCCGGCATCGAGAGGGAAGTCGAGCAGGTTAAACCGAGAGCTGGCAGGGGAGGCTGCGGCTCCCCTTCCGCAGCCCGGAAGATAAAGCAAATCGTTTAGGCTGCACTAATTCCGTGGCTGTTTGTTTCGCTGGAAKGGGAGAGGGGCAGGCGTGGAGCGCGCTCCTTCCCTCGCGAGCGGGGAGCAAGCAGACACAAGTGCTAACAGGTCCGCTCGGATGAGTGTTTGTCTGCGCAGATGTGAGTTTTCATCTGGAGCGCAAGCCGCGAGGTCAAGGCCTCGGGAGGGAGCAGGTCTCCGCTTTGGGATCGTGTGGGTTCGCATTCCCACATTTCCAGGCTGCATTTGTGTCTTTGCCTGTGTCCGCTCTGCTCCCAAGCGCGGCGCTGCTGGCGGGGGGCCCCGAGCGCAGCTGCCCGGAGCGGCGGAAGAGCCGGGCAGGGAACACGTCCCTGCTACCGGCTCCTTGTGTCCTTCCGCAGACGCCAAAGACCTGGAGCAGCTCCGCCGGAACAAGATCACCCACATCGTTTCCATCCACGAGTCCCCGCAGCCCGTGCTGCAGGTAGGCAGCCCGGCCCCGCGCTCGGCAGCGGCTCCACATCCCGGCTTGCCTGTGTTGGCTGCCGGGCCCCGGAGCCCTGGAGCTGCCGATGCTCCTGTTGTGCCTTTCAGGAGATCACCTACCTGCGCATCCCGCTGCCGGACACGCCGGAGGCCAACATGTGAGTACCCGGGGGCGGACGACCGAGGCCGAGGGAGCATCCGCGGAGCGGAGCCGGCCGAGAGCAGCCACCCCGCACAGCCCGGGCGCGCAGCCACCCCTTCCACAGCCCCTGACTCCCGTTGCCTTTCCCCCGCCAGCAAGAAGCACTTCAGGGAGTGCATCGGCTTCATCCACCAGTGCCGCCTGCGCGGGGGGAACTGCCTCGTGCACTGGTAACGTTGCCGCGAGCCGGGCACCGCGCAGCCCTCGGGGCCGCCGCTCCGGCTCCCTGCCGCGGAACGCGGAGGAGCCCRAGCGGGACCCGCGGTGGCCCCAGCACCAGCAGGGCTTGGCTGCAATTGCTGGGGCTGGAGACGCGCCTGCCCTGGAGACCTGGCAGCTTTGGGCTGCAGCCGAGCGGGTGGGAAGGGAACAGCGCAGGGGCTGCGATCCAGCCGATGCTTTCACTTCCCCCGGGGAGGAGGAGGTATTTATAGGAGAGGGCCTTGGAAGGGCTCCGGCCTCCCAGGGCRCAAGGTCTCCGAGAAGAGGAACCGAAATAGCTGGAGCCAAGGCGGGAGGCCGGGGCGAGCAGAGGGGCACGGCGGCGGTGGCGCGGGCTGAGCTCTGCTCCGCCGGGCAGCCTCGCGGGCATCTCGCGGAGCACGACCGTCGTCGTGGCCTACGTCATGGCTGTCACCGAGCTGGGCTGCGCCGAGGCGCTCGAGGCCATCAGGACCGTTCGCCCCATGGCCAACCCCAACGCCGGCTTCCGACGGCAGCTCGATGAGTTCGGCCGTGGCGCGGCGCGGAAGGTGGGCGGCGAGGGGGCCGGCACGGCGGCGCTGCCGGCCTCGCGCGTCCAGGGGGTCGGGGCAGCCTCCCGGTGCAGGGGGTCTCTCCCGGATCCCGGTGCTGGTCCCACCGTGCAGCATTGCTGCTCCTCTGGGCACGGCCAGCTGGGCACGAGCCCATGGGCGAGGGAGGGTCCAGCCCCGGGAGAGTTGGGGGCTCACAGCTGGATCATCACCACCACAGCTGGCGGCGGGCTGCGGACCCCTTTAGAAGCCAAATAGACACTGGTGCTTCCCGGGCTCAGACACCTCCGCTTGCCGCTCTTCCCTTGCCAGGTCCGGAGGCACCTGCRGCAGAGATACGGGGCCGTCCCCTTCGACGACGAGGAGGAAATCAAGGCCCTGCTGCCCGCGCAGAGAGGAGGAGCGGCCCGGGCGGAGGCAGCTCTGCAGGCGCCGGGCGCCAGGCCCCGCGGCGGCAGGAGCGGCGCTCCCTTGCTGCTGCGGGTGAAGAGGACGTTCTCCTGCATCCCCGCGTGCCTCAAGTGAGCCCGGCCGAGGCGCCTGGACATGAACTGGACTCCCCAGCAGCCTTGCAGGGACTCAGGAGCAGCAAGGCCAGCGATGAGGAGGGGCCGCGCGAGCCCCTGCACCGGGCGCGAGTCCTCAGCTCTTCTCCCGCAGCCGGGGTTGATCCCGTCGCCTGGCTGCCCTCTGCCCGGGGGGACCCGCTGCTCTGCCCCGCTCTGCCCGCTGCCCCGGGCTCCCCCAGCTGCAGCCGTGGGGTGGCGAGAGGGGCAGGAGCGGTGCTGGATTCCCAGCGGACCCACAGCTCCGTTACCGGTAGCACCAGGGCACTGGATCCCAGCGCAAAGGGCTGGCCGAGCCATCCACGCACAAGCAGCCGCAGTAGCTTTAGGGGCTGCTGGCCTCCCATCGCAATCTTTAAAGAGCARGAATAGAAACGTTTAACCCAGCCAGACCTCGCTGAAGCAGAGCCTTAAGCCACTTTGCTCCACAACTTTCCAGGTCCCCGTTGGTTAATAAACCTCCCTCTGTGCAGCGTGACGCAGCGTGAGTGCCCCGTGGCAGCGGCGAGACGAGGGCGCGCGGAGGCAGGAGCCGGTGCGCAGGGCAGGGCGGCAGCCGTCGGCACCGCTGCCTTGCAGCCGGCACGAGGGGGAGCCGGGCATGTGGCACTGCCCCGGGCAGGGATGAGGAGCAGCCTGACGTGCCCTGGGCAGGACTGAGGAGCTGCCTGACATGCGCCCAGGCAGGGACGAGGAGTAGCCCGAAATGCGCCCRGGCAGTGCCACGTTTCAGCTCGACGTGCGCCCGGGCAGTGCCACGTTTCAACCCAATGTGCACCCGGGCAGTGCCGTGTTCCAGTCCCCGCCTCAGCGCCCGGCAGCTGGAAATCCCCCCCGGCCTCGGCTTCCTCCCCGCCGCGTTCCCGCCGGCGGCGCCGCGGGGCCAGGGCAGCTGGAGCAGCCGCCCCCAACTCGCGATCCCGAGGTGCCCGAGCTCGGAGCGGCACTGCGGCTACCATGGCACCCTGCCCGCAGCCCCTGTCCACCCCAGCCTCCGCTCTGCCCGCCCGGCTGCGCTCCTGCTTCCGCGGGCAGCGGGGTCTGCGCAGCACYCAAGGGTGCCCGGCAGCACCCGCACCCGGAGCGACGTCGCCTCTTACTCATTTGAGGGTTTCCGTCCTCGAGCAGCCGCGAATCGCTCTTAGTCACAACCGAAAAGGAAAGCGGCAGCGGGAGGCAGGGACGTTCCCCCCGGCCCCACGCGTGGCAGGGGCAGCGGGGGGATGCCCGGGAGCAAAGGGCAGAGCTGAGCCCTGGCGCACCGCTCAACGCCCGCACGAGCATTGCGCCCAGCGAGCTGCCTCCGGGCACGGAGCCGCACAGCAGAGCCCAGGCTGTGGCTCTGCATTTCGGACACCGCTCCCGTCCTGGGCCGCGCAGGGCCGGGATGAGTCAGGYGGCTCCGTGGCCCAGCCCGGCTCCTGGCACAGCTCATCTCTGCCCTYGCACCGGGTCCCGCTTCGACTCAGCGGCTGGGCCCGTGTGGCACCGCAGGGGCGGCTGATGTGAGGAGCAGGGCAGAGCTGAGACGCAGCCAGTGAAACCAAGACGCCCGTCACGTTGGCACCGGGAAACTCCGGGGCTTCTCCAGTTCTTGCAAACACTGCCAAAAGCGGTGGCCCGTGSATGGATAGCGGCTGCCGCCTCTACCCGGGCAGGAGGCCTCTGGGTGCCGGCCCTTCACGCTGGGGTGCTGCGGATCCTGGTCCCTGMAGGGTAGGGAAAGGTCCTTGTGCCCCCCAGGAGTTGGAAGGTCTAAGGAGGCTCCTAACACTGCAGCGAGGTGCCAAGGAGGAGTGCGGGGTGCCCTGGGCCAGACACAACGGGTGCTGCCTGCTGCAGGGTGCCCGTGTCCCTGGCACAGGGGTCCGAGCCCCTGTGCCCAGTGCAGAGGTGCCCTCTCCCGATGCAGGGGGGCAATGTCCCAGTGCAGATGCCCCTATCCCTGGTGCAGGGGTGCTGTGTCCCCTGTCCCTGTGCAGGGAAGGGGTGACCCGTGCCCTGTCCCTGTGCAGGGTGCCCTGTCCCCCTGCACAGTGTCCCCGTGCAGGCGCCCTGTCCGCGTGCACAGTGTCCCCGTGTACAGTGTCCCCATGCAGCGCCCTGTCCCCGTGCACAGTGTCCCCGTGCACGGTGTCCCCGTGCACGGTGCCCGCTGGCGGCCGCTCTGCCCGCCCGCCCGGGGCCGGCCCCGGCGGCAGGAAAGGGAAAGCGAAACCCGGGCGGCGCTTTCGCTTTCGCGGCCGCCGCGGGGCCGATGGCGGCGCCGGGGCCGCACATGCGGCTCAAGGACTGGCTCGTGGCGCAGATCGACAGCGGCCGCTACCCGGGGCTGCGCTGGGAGAACCGCGCGCGGACGCTGTTCCGCATCCCCTGGAAGCACGCGGCCAAGCAGGACTACCGGCAGCAGCAGGACGCGGCGCTCTTCAGGGTACCGGGGCCCCGGGACGCCCCTGCCCTGGGACCCCCCTACCCCGGGATCCCCCCTGCCCAGGGACCCCCCTTGCTCCGAGATCCCCTTGCCCCAGGATCCCCTTGCCCCGGGATCCCCTTGCCCCAGGATCCTCCTGCTCCGAGATCCCCCCTGCCCCAGGATCTCCCTGCCAGGGGACCCCTGCTCCGGGACTGCCCCCGCCTCCGGACTCCTCTTGCCCCGGGACCCCCGCTCACTCAGCCTCCCTGGGCCCCCCGTGTATCCCCACTCCCCTAGGACCCCTGTGTCCCCTCCGTGCCCCCCTGCGCTCCCCCTGCTTCCCTCAGCATCCCGCCACCCCCCGCAGTGCCCCCCTGCACCCCTGGAGCCGCCGCCACCAGCCCCACGGCCGCCCCGCTCTGCCCCCAGGCCTGGGCCATCTACAAGGGCAAGTACCACGAGGGCACGGACAAGGCCGACCCGTCCACCTGGAAGACGCGGCTGCGCTGCGCCCTCAACAAGAGCACCGACTTCCAGGAGGTGCCGGAGCGGAGCCAGCTGGACATCTCCGAGCCCTACAAGGTCTATCAGATCGTGTCCGACGGGACCCGCGACGCAGGTGGGTGCCCGGCCGCCCCTGGCATGGGGCAGCTCTGGGGCTGGGGCTCCTCCATGGGCCACGGGCACCGCTCTCCTCCCCAGGGCTCTTCCTCGGCACTACCAGCCAGGCTGCTCTGCAGCCAGCGGGACAGGGAGGACAGGAGGGTGAGGAGCGAAACCCACCCGTGCCCTGGTCACATCCTCAATGAAATCCCGTCCTGGAGACATCCGGACATGGGGCCGCTCCTCCAGCTGTGCCGGGGCTGTGGGTCTGGCCTGGATTTGGTTCCCAGGATCGGGACTGGGTTTGGTTCCCGGGATGCCGGCGGGGAGGACATGGAGTCCAGCCGTGCTGTGCCTGGGCTCAGTGTTTTCCCGGTGTCTCCGCAGACAAGGATGGCTGCACTGGGTCACCGGGCAGCAGGGAGCAGCAGCTGAACCGGCCCTYGCCCCCCGGGCCCTCTGGTATTAGCTGCCGGCCAGACAAGGTGGGAGCCCCTCAGTTGCCAGCCATTCCTGCTTCCTGCTCCCYACAAGTTCCCTCTGGCCGTGTCCTGCTCGCATGTGCTCTGCCTGTGCTCCRAGTGCCCCGTGGCTCTGTCTCTGCTGCTGCTCCATGTTCCTCCGGGGGCTGCAGGGCTTCGCTGYGGGGCTTCCCCCAGATATCCATCCCCCAGCTTCCCTGGAAAGCCAGGCTTCCCAGCTGGGAGCTGCCGCATCCACGGCTGTGCCCCAAAGCACTCCTGGCTCCTCCGTCCCACCCGGCCACGCTCACGGGTGCCGCTGTCCCCCCAGGGCAGCGCCGCGGGGAGCCCGGACACAGAGAGCATCAAGGGCGAGATGGAGACTGCGTCRCCGCTGCCCCTGTCCCCTGCCCACCCTGCAGACCCGGGTAAGGCAGCACCAGCACCGCCTCCTTCCATCTCCCAGCGCTTCCCGTGCTGGGGAGGCTCCCGAGGCACCGCGGGCGGCTCTGGATTCAGCCCCCGGCGCTGCAGGGGAGCAGCAGGATGGGGCTGGGGGTGATGGAGCTGCCGGGGCCCCATGGGAGGGAGCCGGCGGTGGGGCTGGGGGCTCCCTGCCTCCTCCCGGAGCCCGTCGCCTGCCCCCATGGGCAGCGGTAGGGAGTGCCCCGGAATGCCCAGAGAGCCCCCGTGAACGCGGGCGCTGCAGAGCCGCGGGGCCCCTTCACCCTCCTGCCCTCTGCCTTGGCCCAGGGTACCTCGTGCGGGGCCTTTTCTGTGGCTGGAACCCRGCCCCCGGCCCCCTGCTCCTGGGACCCCCGTCCTACAGCCCCACCGAGGACATCAACCACTCAGGTAGGAGCCCGTGGGGCATCGGGGCAGGGTCGGGGCTGCATCCCCCCCCCCAGCCACCCCGCTTTGCTCCCCACTGGAGAGGTCGAGAGGGATAAGGGGGACATGGGCTCCCCAAGGGAATCCTGCCCGGGACATGGGGCGCCCGGCGGCTGCCGCGTCCCCGCGCTGACGCCTGGCTCGCGCAGACTGCTGGCTCCACGTGCGCCTCTACTACTGCGACGTGCTGGTGAAGGAGCAGACGACGCGCACGGCCGAGGGCTGCCGCATCGCGGCGCGCGCCGTGCCGGCTGACAGTGAGCGCCTCTACGGCCCCTCCTGCATGGAGCAGATCCAGTTCCCGGCGCCGCGGGCGCTGGGCGCCAACAGCCGCGTGGCCGGCATGAGCGGCGTGCTGGAGCGGCTGCTGCCGCACCTGGAGCGCGGCGTCCTGCTCTGGGTGGCCCCGGAGGGCGTCTTCATGAAGCGCCAGTGCCAGGGCCGCGTCTACTGGAACGGGCCGCTGGCCCCGCACGCCAACTGGCCCAACAAGCTGGAGCGCGAGAAGACCTACAAGCTGCTGGACACGCAGCAGTTCCTGCAGCGTAAGTGCAGCCGYGCGGCGCCGGGCCGCCCCGGGCGTGCGGCCGCGCTGAGCGCCGGCTCCCGCAGAGCTGCGCGGCTTCCTGAGCCACGGGCAGCCCCCGCCGCGGTACCAGATCAACCTGTGCTTCGGCGAGGAGTACCCGACCCGCGCCGGGCACCGCTTCCAGAAGCTCATCATGGCCCACGTGAGTAGGCGCCGGCAGGGAGCACCGGCACCGGGCGCGGAGCGGGGCGGGCGGCACCGCAGCGCCCGCGCTCCCGGCGGCTCCGCGCCCCGCAGGTGGAGCCCGTGTTTGCCCGGGAGCTGCTGCATCACGCGCAGCGTGTGGGGCCGCAGCTGCTGCGCGAGGCYGCGCAGCCCTGCGCGCCCGGCGTCTCCCACCACGTCGTGCCCGTCCTGAGGCAGCTCTGCCAGCCCTGAGCCCTCGGCTGCATCCCGGGATGTGCTGCAGTGGGACACAGCGGGATGCACCACGGTGGGATGCGCCAGAGCAGGACACAGTGGGATGCAATAGAGCAGGATGCAACGGGATGCACTGCAGGGGGATGCAGCAGGATGTGCCGCCCGCCCCGGGCACCAACCCTGCCTGGTATGCCTGGCATGTCCATGGCATCCCCAGGGATTGGGGCCGTGCTCTGCATATTTATTCCCTGGGAGCTGTTGGAGATCCCATCTGGGCTTTGGATCACCATGGACATCACTGCTTCACACACTGGGGCATGTGACCTCCCTATTGGCACTGCAGGGACTTGCCCTGGGGACACAGCAGAAATGAAGGTGCTTTGGTACCGGAGGCTCCATGCTGCGGGGGACGGGTGGTCACCGCTGTCACCMTGACACTGAGCACGGTGTCGGCACCGGTGTCTCAGCACTGGGTGTCCTACCTGGAGCTGGGCCTCCCAGCATGTTCCCAGCGGCTTTCCAGGGCACCATGCCAGCGGGGAGGGCGGCAGGATCCACCCGCTATGGCCAGACCGTCACACACTGTTGGTCCCAGTGGGCAGCACCGCGCTGGGCAGCACCATCCCGTGCTCCACTCCTGACCATGGGCAGGGATTCACCGGCAGCAGGGAGRGCTGGTGGCTGCTCTGACCCGCTGCAGCCTGTCGCACTGTCCCCGTGCCTCAGTTTCCCCTGGGATGAGTGGCTCCAAGCAGGCGGTTCCTGCAACGGCAGGACAGGGATGATCCCGGGTGCGGAGCACRGCGCATGGTCCCCGTGTGGCGCAGGGAGCTGGTGTGGGGCAGGAGCTGCACGACGTGCGGAGCCGACACCAGCACCATCCCGAGACCCTGGTGCGGGACAGGGGGACAGTGGCTGCCACAGCCAGTCCRGCCGCCCACGACCCCTCTGCGTCCATCCCGCTGGTGTCACTGTGCGGTCCTGCCTCGGGCAGGGAGCGACGGCAGCGCCCAGCACCACGAGCAGGATGAGCCCCGGCGCTCTGCCCCGCTGCAGGACACCGCGGTGCCCGGGGAGCCCCGCTCCGCCCCGGCGGCCGCGCAGAGGAGGGGCCGCCGCCCCGTGCCGGCCC